CCCTGCGGGCGCCGGAGGTCCCCGGCCCGCGTCGCTGGAGGACGTCGGAGGGCTCGGACCTCAGGGGATGGGACTGAAGAGAGTTTGCTGCCCGGGTTCTTTGTTTCAGAAGGATGGGTTCAAGGCTCCCAGCTCTTCGGGTTGGGTGGGCGCACATTTTCGTGTGAGCCAGGAGTGGCTTTACGCACGTGCTGTGTTTGGCTCCAACTTTAACAATATGGGTGTTTCACATGAAAACCAGGCTTTCTTTGAAGAATCGTAAATTGACAATTTTGTTAGCCTCCGTGAAAAGGGGGACCGTCCCAGTAGACAGCCCCTATTTTCCAATTTACTCCCCACTGCTCCCATTTAGGGCTTCAAGATACAATACTGGCACATACACTAAAAAGAGCATTCACTGGTTATCTGAAATTTAAGTGTCATTGGACCTCCTGGAATTTAGCTTGCTAAACCTGGCACCTGTTTCTATCGCGGTAGCCGGGTCACTCCACGCCTGTCTCTATTTCTCGCCCTTCCCCCCAGTTCCTGTTAGTTTTGCGACCCCCTAGAGCACTAGGGGGTAGATTTGCCTGAAGGTAAGGTGGGCATGGATTAAAGGAACGTGTTCCACCTTCCCCCCTGGGGATTTTCGAAGAAGGCCTTCCTGGTTCTGGGGCGTGGAGTTGGAGGGCTGGTGGGGGCCATAGGGGTGGCATTAGTGGGAGTGTGGCTGTGAGGGGAGCCCTAGGTCTTAGGGTGCGGCTGGACGGCGGGAGCAAGGCTTCGGGGGCAGCTGCGACCGGAACGAACGTCCACCCAGAGAATCTGGAAGGAAAGGGAATTCCACGCCGTGCCCTGGAACCTGCGCTTTTTAGAGGGGCGGGCAGATATCGGGGTCCCTGTCCCCTCCCTACTTTCCTCCCACCAAAACCGGGGGTGGCGATGGGCAGGGGGACAGCTGGAAAAGAGATGGGTAAAGGACGTGATTGAGGGGACTGCAGCTGTGAGGGCGGGGAACCGGTGGCGTGCGCTCTCACGGCGTCTGGGGCGATGACGCGTCCGCGCCGGGCTGATTGGAGCCCCGCCGGCCTTCCGCGCCCGACGGGCGACCCAACTATATAAAGCGTCCTCCCAGCTGAGCCCCTTCGCGATGGTGTCCTACGGAAGGGGGGTCAAGCCGCGCCGACTGAGGAGCCATGACGGGCCGAGACGCGCTTTCCGAAGGGCGCGCTCGGAGCAAGGCGCTGGTGCCGGGTGGCTCCTCCACTGGCCCGCGCCCCCGGGGCTTCGCCATCACCGACCTGCTGGGCCTGGAGGCCGAGCTGCCGTCTCCTCCCGGAGTCGGGCAGGGGTCGGACTGCGAGGGTCCGGGTCCCAGGCTCGGCAGCCCCGGCCTGGCGTTCGGGACCCTGCCTCTGGGTCTCCGCCTCCTCTGCGGCCTCGGTGCGCAGCCTCCTGCGGCCGCTAGGGCGCCCTGCCTGCTCCTCGCCGACAAGCCCTTTCTGCCGCGCCCGGGGCCCGAGCCTGCCACCCCACCAGCCCTCCGTCGCCCGCCGTCCCCGCTTGGCCGCCAGAAGCGCAGCGAGAGCGTCTCCACGTCCGGTAATCAGGCCACCCCATCCCACTCCTGACCCTGTTCCCTCCGGTGTGGGCCGCGCAGGAGTAACACGGCATCATCCCACATGCGCTCTCACCCCCAGCATCCTAGATCCAAGGGATGTCTGGACCCCAGATGCTGGCTGGGTCCGGGGGAGGCGCATCCTCGCATCTGCACCCCCCTGCCTCGGGCCTCTCCCTAAATCCCTGGCTCTCCTCGGATTCCGGGCTCGGCAGAGGGTGACTACCACTCCCACCCGGTTTCGGACCTGCCCTGCCTGGCGGTCTGGAGGACCCGGCAGTGGTCCGCCGAGGGCCTTTCCCCAGCGCCCCGCGCGAACCTCGGCCTCTGGGAACCGCGTAGGTCGGGAAGCCTGTCTTACTCACCAGCAGCCCAGACCGCGGCCACCCGCGGTNGAACCGCGTAGGTCGGGAAGCCTGTCTTACTCACCAGCAACCCAGACCCCGGCAACCCGAGGGCGCTCAAACGTTTGCAGAATTGGTTGAATGATCCAGGGGTCCTTGAGGAGCACTGGGCCTACCTCCCCGGGTGCTGACAGGGTGTCTGAGGGCCTCGCTTCTCTCCTGGCGCCGCCCTCCTTAGTCTTGAGAAAGGAAGCAACCTCGCCAATTTCATTGTAGTCAGGGCTTAGCGTTTTGTTCCCAGCCCACCTATTTCCTCAAAGACTTCGAGGCTGATTATAGGGAAGGAGAAGGAAGCAATACAGTTCTTTAAAGGACAAGGGCTTAGAAACTGAGACGTTTACGGTGTTGGGGAAAATTACATAAGAAAACATGGACTGAGATAAACTATGTAGTAGAATCTAGAGCTGAGCATCCAGGCAGCCAAGGCAAAAAGAGTACATTGGGTCTCCACTGATTAAAAAAAAAGGAAGGCAGTAGGCAAGTGAGCTTTGGCTCAACTCCAAAAGCACTTAATTTTATGAGTCTATAAAATAAAACGAACCTGCCATTAGTTTTTTTTCACTAAAACTGTAGAAACTACCAACATAGGATGGGATCTTTCCTCTGAGCGCTGATAAAATGAAAAGCAAAATGCAACTAAATCTTAGTCTGTGAGGGAATTTCTGGAAGATCAAGAGCAATGCTACCCAATAGAAATATGTGGCTGCGAGTGTAAGAGATTCTCTTTACGATTTTTTTAATTGATTTTTTGGAGACACAGGAAGGGAGAGGGAGAGACACTGATCTAGAGCAAAACATCAATCAGCTGCCTCCTGCACGCCCCCTACAGGGGGTGGGGGATCCAGCCAGAGCCCCCCCGACCTGAGTATGTGCCCTGACAGAATCATACCAGCAACCTTTCCTTGCAAGGGACAATGCCCAGCCAACTGAGCCACACACTAGAAAGGAAAAATAAACAAGTGAAATTAATTTAAATACTATATTACATTTAATCCAATACACACAAAAGATCATGTACATGTAATGAATATAAAAATTATTATTTTACTTTTGAGGTACTAAGTCTTCTAAATCAACTGAATACATTACATTTACAGCAAGTCTCAATTTGGACCAGCCACATTTCATGCATTCAGTGATGTCGTGTCTAATGGTACCAGAGTGGACAGCATGTATATTATATTATAATCCAAGCATACAGTTTTCTGGTGAGCTAATTGGTGTTCGAGTAAAACTAATATTATTTTATTTTTCCCTTTACTTTACCTTTTAATACCTTGAGGCACAAATGCTTTCTAACAATGAATCTGACAATAGTTTGATATTCTAACCTTCCTTTTTATCTGGATCTTTTAATATAAAGGATATCAAAAGATAAAACATAGTAAGGTTCTCAATATTTTTTTCAAGTGCACCTAAGAATCATCTGGGCATATGTGTCAAGAATGAGTTTTTCTGGACCCTACCTCCAAAGATTCAGAACTGGTACAGCAGTGCAAGGAGCGCAGTTTTGACAAGAGTTCTGATGTCACAGACTTCGGCCGGCCTTTGAGAAGTGTTGGTGTGCTGATTAAGTTAAAGAAGTTGGAAGCAGTAGAAAGCGGATAAAGTTGGGAGCTGAGTGGGGATAGAAATTCAATGAATGGCCAGGTAGCTTTGGCTTCACACAGTCTGGGGTTTGAATCCCAACTTCACCATTTACTACTTGTGTGATCATGGACAAATTACTTAATCTCTCTGTGCCTCAGTCTCCTCATCTGTAAGAATAGGCTACTAACAGCAGCTACCTTGGAGTTCTCTAATTTGCTGAAGAATAATTGCAGTAATGCATGAGCGGTGCTGAGCACAGCACCTGGGTTACAGCAAGTGCTAAAAAGGCCAGCTTGTATTGCTAAGTATCATTCACGTTCTTCAGCAGGTTCATAGCTTTAATCCTCATATTAAAATCCAGAAAATAAAGTGAGAAAACATGCTCACTTTTAAAGTCCTCTTTTTCTCCTTCTGCTAACAGATGAGGAAAACCTGTCTGAAAACAGGAGTGACCCGAAGGTGACCCCCATGCCTGGCAAGAGGAAGAAGAGGCGGCACAGGTACAGGGCCAGGCCAGCCTCCCTGACCCTTTCCTCAGGACACGCAGCATCTGAGAGTGTGTGGTCTTGCATTAGGGGACGCCCACTGGCCTTCAGGTTGGCAGTAGGAAGGGTACAGTAATCATTTAGGAACATAATTCTACAAATCCCAGGAGGCTGCAGGACAGTTTTTGCAGCATTTAAAAGACAGAATTTTGTGGGCCTTTAAAATGGGTCTTCTTAGAATGAGTTGATGGAATACGCTGAGGACGGGAAAAAGTGCTGAAGAACCCTGTCTTATTTGAACCAAACTTCTGCACTTTCCAGGGGTTAATCATTCAGAGGTGGGGTATTCAGTTATTGTGAGGTGGCCTTTTGGGGTGTGGACAGTAGGGGAGGTAGGCACGGGGTCCCTAAGCTGGGAAGCCTGGCATCCTCCTTTGGCCACGTTTCCACGCATCTTTCGGGCCTCCCTGCAGGACTGTCTTCACTGCCCAGCAGCTGGAAGAGATGGAGAAGGCGTTCAATGAGGCACACTACCCAGATGTGTATGTCCGGGAAATGCTGGCCATGAAAACTGAGCTCCCTGAAGACCGGATACAGGTGTCTGGGGTTCCCTTCTTTCCACAGACACTGTAGAGAACGTGTTAATCTCACACTCAGTGTGACCCACAGCCACCTCTACAGCCAAACACATTCCCTTGCACAGGCAAACTGAGGGCCACTCAGCTGCAGGCACATAGTGCTAGAGCAGAGCCTTCCTTTATGTTTATGTAAGAGGATATCCCCTGTAACCTTCATGCCTTTTTTCCTTTTATTAAGTCATTCTTTAAAAGCACAGTATCGTGTGCTGCAACTAGAAACCATGTAAAGATACATCAATGAAAGAAAGTGACCACCCATCCCTATAAACCCTCAAAGAAACCAATGTAAGTAGCCTCATGTGGCCTTTCTGCTCACTGTCGCCATGTCATATATATCTGGCCCTGAACAAATACACTCACATACATTTAGAATGTTGTTTTGTTTTTACAAAAAGGCATCATGTTATGCAATTTTGCCTCTGCTTGACAACACATGTAGGGCATTTATCAAGGTCAGAAGATATGCCACAAACTCACTTTTTTTAAACGGCTAAACAATATTCCATACTATTCCTTTATTAAGCTAACAGTTTTCCATGAGAAATACCACCAGCAACCCAACAACCTAAGATTAGAATGGGCCATAGACTGAGTGACCTCTTTCCAAACCATGAGAAAAACCAGAAGACATTAGAGTTGACTCCTTTGCACAATGTAGGAAAGAATACTTTAGTTTTATTTTTGTCAACTCTATGGAAAACTTCAGTGGAAACTGGTCACATATTACCCCACGACGAGTCCCTGTGAGTTTTGAGTGACCAGTGGGCACAGTTCCTGAAAGGTCTCGGGTCTTACGAGCTTCCCAAATTGGCCCATTTTAGAGCTCCCCGCTCAGGGACACCTCCAAGCGCCCTGGTCACAGTGTCTCCTGCCTCATACCAGGTCTGGTTTCAAAATCGGAGAGCCAAGTGGCGGAAGCAGGAGAAGCGCTGGGGCCGCAGCAGCGTGATGGCCGAGTATGGGCTGTACGGGGCCATGGTGCGACACTGCATCCCTCTGCCGGACTCTGTCCTCAGCTCCACGGAGGGCAGCCTGGCCCGTTTCTGTGCGCCCTGGCTCCTTGGTAAGGAAGAGAAGACGGTCCTGCAGTGAGCACAGGGCCAGAGATGTTGGGGGTGGCATTCCCATGTGGGACAGCCGTTTGCAAAGCAAAACAATGTGAGTTTACTCGGACTCAGACCCAGAATATCACATCAGATTTGTAATTAATTACAGGGTTTGGTCAGTTGCCTTATTTTTTCATTAGAACTGCCTAGCAAGTTCACTTCAGGCCTTGTTTTTAAGAGTGGAATGATATACTTCTATTATGTGAAATACGTTTCCAAAATGTTGAGTGCTATTTGAATTTGGGGAAACTATCAAATTTAGAGCTCGTGGTAATGGGAAACAGGGCAGTGCACAGTAAGCAGTGAAACCCGGAGATGATGGACGCCCTACATACCCAAGTCAGGAGGTCTGGTTCCCGGTAGTGGTTCTGCCATTAACAACCTGCCTCGTAGCTTCTCTTTCCCTTAGATTTTGATGCTAGAACAGTCTACACTGGTGAGGTCTAAGCTTTGGGGTTGGGTGTTCTGAGGAAACACCACCCATAGTGGTCTAATTGCTGTTACCAGAGACCAAGGGGCAGGGATCACAGCTTAAGGAAATGAGTCACAATAGCACCCTGCACAGGGTGGGAGATTAGAGTTAGAGACCTGGGGTTGGCATATTAGGTTGGAGAAGAAGGGTTTTTGTTCAGCCTCTACTGACCAGACACTATGCTAGTATTAGAGATACTAACTGGAAATACAGTCTTGACTTTGCCCTCAAGGACTGAAGAGGCTGAGAGAGAGAAAATTCAGCAGGAAATCAAGCCTACCCTTCCGAACTTACAG